GTATGTCTTCCAACAGGACTCAGCTCCAGCCCACAAGGCCAAGAAGACACAGGCATGGCTGACGCTTAACGTCCCCAGCCACTGGGGTCCTGACCTTTGGCCCCCCAACTCCCCAGACTGCAACCCCCTCGACTACTATGTGTGGGGCGTTGTTGAGAGAGATGTTAATAAAGCCCCCCACAACACCATCCAGTCAGTCAAGGATGCGGTTCACAAGGTGATGACCCAAATGGATAAGGCCATCGTCGCAAGGCCTGTGCTTCCTTCCGCACTCGTCTCGAGTCTGTCGTCGCCAACAATGGAGACTACATTGAATAATTTGAAACTGTATCATTTGAACTGCTTCTGTGCCAATTTTCATTTCAATATATTGATTTTTGCTTGTAAAACATGTCTTCTTAATTTTCATTATAGTTTTTCCCGATTTACCTGCCCCACCCTGTATCTTATGAGGATGAGTGATGTGATGATATTGCAATCACCCCCACCCCCACTCATCACCAGCAACATCAAAATACTATGGTATGGTATTGAGCCACAGTGTACCTACCAATAAATTTATCACATACCCCAATGCCCTAGTTTGAACAAGAGTATAATTTTTTAGTGCATCTTGCAATAGGGCCAACATTCTTTTCTTTCATTCTGCTGAGAGGATAAAACTTTCAATGGTTCTGTTGGCAGGTTCTATCACCAGCTACCAGCAGGAAAAAACTAAGGATATCTTATCAAGAATATGGAAATGAAAGTACAATACCAGTTTCTGGTACCCATAATTTTAAAATTAATTAATTAAATTTGCAAAGAGACTCACTCTCCTTTTGAGAATCAGAGCTCTCTGAAGAAAATAAAGAAAGTCAAATAGTCTAACATTCAAAAAGGTGGGAAAAAATAAATTAGGACAAGAAGCAGAAGAGATGCAACCCAAGGGCATTACTAAATGGACAAACATACATACCATGCATCATACAAAGGACAATAACAAGATTTCAGAAGAGATCCCAACAGCCTCTCACCCGAATCTTAAGCTCATCATAGTGGAGATAAGAAGAGATGTATGCATGGGCATGTGTGCCACTGACAGGAATGCCAAAGAGCTTCCCTGCAAGGACATTGCTTGTTCCATCAAACCCACCTGCAAAGTCACCAAGAGTCTTCTCATTCTTCATGCATTCAGAATTTTTTTTTCATGCATGTGTGCATGTGATATTACACTCTATTCACATTGCCAACATGGATTCATTATGCATGTGCAAGATGTTCACATCAAACAATAATGCTCTTGTCCATACTGGCTGCAGAATTCTTTGCTATTTGCAAAACATAGGGAAAAGAATGTGTTGATATAAATTTGGTGATGAGGTCAACTGAATCTGTGTAATTGCTCTATCAGCAATCATGAATGCTGTGCACTCTTTAGACTTGCAACTGGATATAGCTCTCTCACTTTTTCCTGAAATTACAAGATATGGTCATTCGTGTTCCTTTGTTTCATGGCTTGAAAAACACAGTTTGACGGAATGAACTACAGGGTGTATGAAAAGTCACTGACTTTTACCTTTAAAATGAATCATGAACTAAATAAAGATATTTTAATTCCACACAAAGAGATCACACATAGCAGTTATAGGCAGTTATCTATACCATATATACTTAGATATTTCTCACTTATTTATGTATGAAGCTACAAGTATGAGAGCATATATGATTAAAGCATATGAACCATATAAAACTTATTCAAGCTCAAATCTTTGCAACATGTATACTCTACATAAGAGAATAATCATGCTTAGGGAATGGGTTCCTGCACAAATGATCATGATAGCTGGTTGAAGTATAGATTTTCATATATAAGTATATGAACAAAACTACATAACATGTTTAAATTTTTGTCAAAAATAGGCTTTTTGTCATCCCTTGTCCATGTTCCATTGGAACAACTGCACCTGGAAAATTTCCATAGGTCAAGGAATCTAAAAATGTCTCAGCTCTCAGTTAAAAATGAGAAGATAGCAGAACTGCAGAGGGAAAGGACGACAAATACGAAATGAAGTGACAAAAATTTTCAGGAGCATAAATGAAGCAAAAGGTGGGATCCCAGAGAGTATAGAAAACAATAGCAAGAGGGAAGGACACCAGTGACAATATAATAGAAGCCACCATAGAGAGGCTGGTATATCTTACTCTCCCATCCACCTGTGCTTGTTGGCTTCTACACGCCAGCTGCAAGACACTGCATAGTACAGGAGCCCTATAACTAACCTGATACTCTCTTCCAAGGTAACTAATTTCATTCTCCACTAACCTAATGCTTATCAATGATGATATGTAGGGTAATTAAAAAAAAAAAGTTCTGTCTTTGAACTCAGAAAAAAAAACAACTATTTTTAAACAAAAACTGAAAAGCTAATGGTCTTTGAATGACATTGTTCAAGCAAAGTGCACAAGCAAAATTGTAGATTGAGAATAATCAAGGACTAACATAACAACTAACTCACTCTCTCTCTCTCTCTCTCTATATATATATATATATATATATATATTCACTGAATTCATCCTCTACTAGATCAGCTGCATGAATTTGAGTAACTTATTAGGTTATGAATCCTTCACCTCCTTCATGCAGTTATTAAGGATGCTCTAAAAATAAGTACCAACATACATTTATAGACGTCATACTCTTACTAGAAAATGTCTAGAAACACTTTATCATACCATGGCTTATAGGTAAATGTGGGCTACTATCATAACTTTTGACATATCCAGGAGCAGCTCATCTGCAAGGTATAGACATGTGTGAATGCTAATCACAGTCACAAACCAATAGCATAGTAGCGTGAAAAACTAATACAGGAAATTAATGGTATGTGCATAAAGTCATAATAGACTCAGTGTCATTCTCCTTGAATGTCAAATAAATGAATGTATCACAGCCCATCATGAATAATAATGATGCTGAAGATAAAAAAGAATGACCTTCATGCAGGAGCAAGAACGACCTCAACCCTGGCATTGATTTCTCATTTCCTCTGCCCCATAGTGGTTTGATCAATGTCTCGCAACAGGAAAGGGAGGGAATCGTGATGATCTTATCATGGAGTCATGCTTGATAATCCCTCATCACATCCTTTCCCAAAGGGATCCTGACTTCTTTCTTCGTCCCATCAGAACAGAATCCTATTTATTCTTCTTCCCAGTCTGCCCCATCTACAAAGTATTCATCACCTCCAGACCTTCCTGGAAACATGAGCCTCTGGGGTGATACAGTGGGTTTAACATGATTTTCTCCCCCCTTTGTTATGGAGTCCTCTTCTACATCTTCTTTAGCCAAGCAGTCAATTTTGTGAAAAATAATTCCTGTCTCATTAAAAAAAAATGTTATTTAAAGCATGCAATAATGCATTCATTGGTCAAATTTAAGATCACCACATGCTTGAGAAGCTGGTTCTCTTCTGTTCCCATTTTCTTGCAAGATATTTCCATCTCCTTCTGACTTCCTTTGTCTAGGAGGCTAGGTGTTACTGTCAGCAAAATACTTCAGGAAAAGCATCACCCCAAAATTGTATCACCAGGGGGATATGTTCTAAAAAGTAGGGTTTTTCCTGGACTGAGCACCCAACAAATATTTGTATATCATGTTTCAGCTTTCTCCAGGGTATGGCAAACAAAAAGACCAATTACTTTTAATCTTAATATCTCAGCTCTCAATAGAGCTATTTTTGCAAAATGTTCACAATGTATATATGAGCATTTTTCTAAATGATTCCTAAAATTTCATTTGAATGTGCTGAGCTGAAGTAATACTATCAGCTAATACTGAAAAGAAGTTAAATATTAAGAATGGAGAGGAGCTCCTTCTGGTAGTGGAATGGAGGACACACTGGAGTGCTTCCCTCCAGGTCATCAGAACCATGTTGAACTCTTCTCACATTTAAATCCATTTTTTGGACTGGTTGTTTCTTGCAGATGGGTTTCAAGAGCTTTTCCACTTGAAAATTCCATATATGACAGGGTGTATGGTTCTATATTGCCATGTATGATCATATATTTACCATATACCACCATATATGTATTTATATCTATGAATTGTATGGTCCTGTATATAATATATTTCATCTGCATTACAATATCAAAAGTTATGGGCTAATGGCATCATGTCTGATACATGGTGAACATCCACAGACAAGTCTTAAGGTTATTAGTAAACTTTGCATGAGGTCAGTGGTGTATTTTGGCTGAAGAGCCAGGGAGGGGAGGCAAGGCAACCAAGCAGAGGGTCATCAAACCCCACCCAAGTGATATTGGGAGAGAATAAAATTGCCTCCAAGGGGTGACAAGCCCTGTCCCAGGGGTGACTGGGGCGGAGGTGGGTGGCAGCTGCCCCCCTGTAAAATATGCCACTGAAGGAGGTTGCCATACAAGGGCCAATGACCTTCAGATACCACTGCAACTAATTTTTAATTCATCCATTGCATTGTACATGAAATATTAGCTATGTATAACCTTTGAAATAATTTCCTAAAATATTTATTTTTAACCCCTACCCTCCCTAGGTAGCATAAGCATATCAAGGATGAAAAAAAAAGGGGGGGGGGGGGGGCATGTGAACTCTAGGGAAGCAGTGTGTGAACTTTTCAGGTTGTGCCCCCTTATTCATTTGTGTATTCAGCGCACCCCCTTATCCCCCCCTCCCCCTCATAATAATGCAATACCACAAATTACCTCTTCCTTTTCCCACTTGGCTGGATTGTATTGTGCTGTACTCCTCTCAATCCAATGGGACATTTTCCCTTTAAAAATGTTGCCAATACATTGTCAAAGAAACTATTGATACCTCCAACCATCGACAGTGGTATTGATGCATTGACCTACAAGGTGTTGTGACAGCCCTACTTTATAGTTATTAGTAAAAGCATAGGCCTCCACACTGGCTCCTAATGATTTTTTGTAGATTCATGATAATTTAATACTTTAATAATTTAATTAGCTATTCACCCACAACATTGTGGGTAGGAATCAGGCATATTGTATTAAAATTAAATCCTCATATAACACAAAGTATGACTGTTTTTATACTCATAAATATATGTTTAATAATTTCTTTTAATATTTGACAGATTTTTATTTGGAATTTCCTAGATTTGTAGTGCTTTTCTTGATTTTTTCCATTTATATTTCATTTTGGATCTTAAATCTCCAACTTCTGAGAAAAAAGGTAAAGCATAGGAATATAGCTCTGTAGCATATGGCTCCCGTTTTGTGCAGTGCTGCTCTTGGATGCTGTTACCACATGCATTTCATGTGTCTTTTCCTTCTTATTAATGCTTCTCTTTTATGAATCAATCAGATGAATCAATGATGAGCATCCATCCATAGAATTTCTCAAAGTTATAAAAAATTTATCCTGCTTTTATAAAGGGACTGTCCACATCAAATGTCAGATTTGTCATAGAATTTCATTCATAACTTTGATTTGAAGCAATTGATTTTGGCAGCCTAATTGACTTTCAAATAAATGAAGGCATGCTTCATCCATAGCACATTTTGTGAGGTATGACTTAAGCAATCATAAGATACACTCAAATTCATTGGTTTTTTTTTCATACCTTGCAGACTCAGGTTGATGTAAACCAGGGGTGCACAACTCAATCGACTGTGAGGGCCACTTATGATTTTTATTTCACCTACTGTGGGCTGCACCTACTCCTATGACTTACTTCTACATCTGTGGCTAACAAGGCAGGAGTCATAGTAGCACAATGCCACCAGTCATGGCAGGCCACGGGAGAGGGTCTCATGGGCCACATGTGACCTGCTGGCAGTATGTTGTGCACTCCTGATGTAAACCAAGGCAAATTTTGAATGAAGTGTATGAAAAGTCTCTGGATTTTGATGTTCATACACTCATCTGCTATTTATTTGGAATGAAAATAATATGCAAGAGACAATCAGTCCAAAGAATAAATTTAAATGCAAGAAGCGTTTCAAGGTGCTCTTGATGATCTGGAGGGATCTCAAGTATATCCTCCACTTCACTACCAGAAGGAACTCTTGTCCATTCTCAATGCCTAATTTCTTTCAATAATTGCTGATAACATTGCTTTGACCCAAAAAAATTTTTATAAAATCTTGAGGATCAGTTGGAAACATACTATACTATATATGCATTGTGAGCAAAGACATTTAGGCTAAAATTACTTGGTCTTTTTTTGCATATCCTGTATATCTGCCAGATTCCCAGGAGAGGAAATATTTACTGGATACCCCATCCCTAAGATGTGCCCCAAGGGGATGTTTGTGTCCCCAGAACATGTATCCCAAAGGAAGAGCTTACCTTGAAACCAGTACTCTAAGAACAACTCATATTCAAAATTTCAGCTTTCTATGCCTGTCCATTTTGTTGTAGCAGAGCAGGCAGATGTACCTACCTATGTAAGTGTATTTTGAGGCTGAGAGTCCTCCATCTGGTCCTTGGGCCCTCCTCAGTCCAAATTCAAGGAGTTTCATATGTTTCCCAGCAGCCATTCGGTATCTGGCAGCATTAGTAGCAACCAGGCTAGCATAATTGACTAGAGTCAGCAGAGTTGTCTCCAGGAGTTGCACAACTATCAAGGGACCTTCAAGTCTCAGCAAGGGGACTCTACAAAGTATACATTTTTCTCTTCAATTTTGGAACTTGCGAATAATGTAACTTACATATGAGAGAGAGAATGGGCATGCTGCAATCATACCTGGGAAACACCACAGATCCTTCCTCAATAGCATAAAGTGTCACATCCTTAGTGGTCAATTTCTTCAAGAAGTCAAAGAAATCAGGTTCCACAGAGCTAGGGAGTGTGGACCGAAGATACAGGATATCTGAATGGGAAAAAAATAAAGTTGCTTTAAAGAAGTGCAACTTATTTCTTCAACTGCAAAAAAAGACAATTGATATCAATAACTGCAATGACCATGTCAATAGTTACATATTTATAATTAATGGGTACTCACCGCTATCAGAATAACGAAAGTTCTCCAAGAATTTCAGGCATTCATCTAAGCCTGCAAAGATAGTGAATTCTCCCTGGAATGGATTCTTCCTGAAGAACAGATCGAACACAGCCATATCTCCCACCTTCTCTGACTTCCAGTAGGCATATGCCATGGTGATCTGGTACAGATCTAAAAAAAATAATAATACAAAAATGAAAAAGATATAACTCAAAAACAAGTTTCAGGCATAACATGGGGTGATATTAAAGACTTCATGTTTATGCCATTTTATGGGTACATTGGCCAGGCCAAGGTTGATACATAGGACTATCAAGCAGCTAAAAATAAATTCTTGTCTTTGGAGGCTAAGAAGATTCACTTCAATATATCTATTATTCAGGATTCTGTCTAACAATCACTAACTACAGAGTTCTGCAGCTTAGCACTATGTACACCTAAAGAACAGTATTTCAGAAAGCAAAACCTATCCCCAGCAAAAGTGTCTAATAGCAACAGTCCAAGGAATATGAATCCCAAATTCCATTGATCCTGAGTGATCACCAAAATGTCTAATGGTGCAGACGTAACAGGGGCTATACAGCCAGACTCATTCCCGAGTTTCCATTCCTCCTTCTCCTCCCTCCCCTCTCTCCTGATCCAAGAAATTAAAACACATTTGAGATCTTTTTAAGTTATTATGTGGAACCATTTATTTTCATTGATAGATCAAAATTCCAGGATTTTGTATTTATTTTTTCAAATGCAATTTTTATTCTTCTATTAAATCCTCCAAGAAGAAAGTGAGAGATTCAATCATGATTTCAAAAAATACTTGATGTTCAAGTCAAGATGATATACAAACTCAAATGAGGTACATGCTGGGAATAATATTCAGTGATCGAACCCTCCCACATGGACAAAACTGATGAGTGAATAGAAAGTGGTTTATACTTTAATTTGTATGAATCTGTAATAAAAATTTGAAATATTTTGCCTCATTAGTATGCAGCTGAATGAAAATCCTATGGACATTCATGACATTCACAAAAAGCTTGTAGATAACTACTTGGTGGATTGTGTACATAATAACCGAGACGTAGCTATTAAACTGTTCTGAGACTGGCTGGAAGTAAGGATATAAAGGTAACATGGAATAGAGGAAAGGCTGGGGCATGCATACAATGATACTGAACATTTATGTTCCACATACAATAATGATCAGGTGTGAAAAACACGAAGAGTATGGATTGCATATATGATAATGCATCTGGCTGAAGTATATGCTTCTTTTAAAGGTCTATTAACATGTTATACATATATGTGCATCATGCATGTTTTCTACATTAAATATATATAATGCTATGTGCAAGAATTCACACTTATAGTATATGATACGTACTAATCCTGAGTCCTGAATGCAATTGCTTATGATCTCAAGGTGTGAGTTGACTTCTTTAACAATCCACATGTCAGCTTGAAAACTAACAAAATTATTTTCTTCACACAAAGCTGGAACTAATTTTAGTATTCATAGAACAACCAAAAGCCTTGTCACATGACATTTAAGGGGATGCTTCTACAGATGTCAGACTATCAGAAAACACATGTAAAATTGGAATGGAACCATAAGAAAACCTGCAGTAAAGGGATGCCCAAGTCCTCAACAGTTCCTTAACAAAAGTAAATGAATTTGGTAGAGGCATAATTTGAGAACTCTGATAACCTTAGAGTAACAAAATATAAGAAATTTGACTTTTTCAATGCATAATTCTTGATTAAGTCATGATGAGACCTAGAGATCAGGACAGATGAGTAACTTAAGTTCTCCAAATACAAGCAGGCTATGGCAACTAAATATACCCAGGTTTTAGACTTCATCCAATATTCATTACCAATAATAGCATGTTCATCTATTGTCCATGGTATGCAGCACTGTTTAGGCCCCATTTAGAGCAATGTGTTCAATTTCAGAGTCCTGAAGATAAAGGCAATCTAATAGCACTGGAGAGGGTTCAGAGGTAAACTGCAGTATATAGGATGCATAAAAGCTTTCATATAAGATAGGGTGAGTGGATATTTTAAAGGAAAGATCAGTGCATTTTCCCTACATTTAGTTGACAATAGGCTGCTTGCTACAAATTAGAGGCACTAAAAGGAAAAATCCCAGGATAGTTTTCTTAACAGGGCAGTGCCTCAAAAACAGGGGTTGTTCCAGGGAAAACGACATGTCCCAGTTTTACCAGGACAATCTGGTCACCCTAATATAAGATGTTTAGGAGCATTAGGACTCTTCACTCAAGTGATGGCTAATGAGGGAATTCACCCAAGCTTATCGAGGCCATTAATAACATGGAGAGTGGAAAGTTTTTTATTCAATGATAGAAGCACATTGAGAGGGAACCAATAAAAGCAGTGTAGACCCAAACTGAAACTCAAGTTGCAGACAAACTTCTTTATTGGCAGAGCAGTGAATGCATAGAAGTCAGGTGGTAGTACTTCCTGCTCCTAATGTGAATAGCTTCGAGAAAATAAGAAATGGAAAAGAGCTTAAATGCTTTTGTGGACAAGACAAAGGGAGCAATGTAGCCATTGGGAATAAGGCACTAGGGGAGTCAGGAGCTGGTGGCTATACTCCTGCAAAAACACTTGTCTCTATTAGGGGTAGGCCTATATGGTGATAAACGCTCGACCTTGACCTTGACTGGGGATGTAAAGGGCAGGAATGCCTCTTGACGTTCCTACCCGAACCTTGGGCATACATTTTTTACATCTGGGCGTTCGCACCAGAAACCAAGCTCTCATCTCAAGGGTAGGAAGACATGGATGTCACGGGGCTTCCCGGAGATGATGGGAAAGTATTTTGACGTACCAGTGAGAAGCGGCTGAACGATGCCATTTTGGCGGGTTGTGCATCGACAAAAGTCCCTCTCCAGTTCGCTGAAAGTCACGGTCTTCATGCTGTCACTGGGCTCCGCCATACCTCCTTACTGAGGCAGAGGCTTCCTGTTATAGCTGCCGCCGCTGCGCGCTAACCTACCCTTTGTCGTACCCGTGCAAGACCTGGAAGTATCAAATCTTGGCTCCCGTCTGCTCGGTGAGCTTCTGGAGGACTGACTGAACGATCGAGTCGTCCTACCAAAGCCTTTCCAAGGCCCTTCCCCCCTCCCTCCACCTTTTGTTGGATCAATGCGTTTTCCTGCACTCGATATTCATACATGTACTCCTGACATCAGTTCCAGACTTTCTCTTCTCTTGCGCAAGGTGCGTTTCTTGGATTCTCAGTTCACCTGTCCTGATAAGGAATACGAATATCCTACAATCGGAATAACAACACCTGTTAGCGGAAAAAACACAATAGATTTCCTACACTCCGCCAAGTGCAAGCACATCGAGACGTGAGAGTGAGACGAGCTAATTTTGACAGCAAGGTCATCACATAATCACACAAAAAATGAATAATGGAAAAAGAAAAAACAATCAAAGAAATTTCGTGCAACAAGGAGATCAGTGAAGGCCATTCATGATATAAGCGATAGGGAAAACGCATTCGTTCTGGTACCCATCGAGACCTTCGGCAGAAAGGGATGCATGCACGGAAGCGGAAGTAGAGGTCATCATAAGGGCAGTCGATAACGTATCATCGGCCGAATCCTGCTTCTGCTGCTGACCTCGTCCACCTCGAACCCCATCTTTTTCGTGAGACTTTTCGTGCCTGGCCACACTCGTGTGGGAACTGAAACATTTCCCACATTTCTGGCAGAGATAGGGCTTCTCCCCGTTGTGGGTCCTCTTGTGCTGCTTCAAATGATCCATGCGGGAGAACCTACGATCGCAATAGACACAAAGAAAGGGCTTCACCTCCAGATGAATCAGTTCGTGTCTGTTGAGATGCTGAGCCTGAGTGAAACGCTGATCGCAGATCTTGCAAACAAAGCGATAGGGAGCCAGGTGCCGCTTGTGGACGACGGTGTGGCGACGGAGCTCGGCCGCCGTCGCGAAGCACTCCTCACAGGTTTTGCAGCAGTGCGTTTTCGTGACGTGCGATTTCCGATGAGCCACCAGACTATTGGAATGTGCGAATTTCTGACCGCATTCCTTGCAGGAGTAGAGGTTCTCCCCGGTGTGAACCCGACTGTGCTCACGGAGGTACAGGTTCCTGGAGAAGCTCTTCCCGCATTCCTTGCAAGGATATTGGCGTTTGATCCTTCCGTTCACCTCTTGAAAGGGGGAAACCTCTTTGAGGAAGGATTCCCATCTGTCCTGGGTCATGGGGAAGTCCACGAGCAGCCCGTGTCCGGTCTCGTTTATTGACAAGTCCATTGGGATTTCTGTGGCAGAATCATGGCAAGATCGTCAGCCTAATGATAACCTGTTGACTGAGGGATGGGGATCGTTAAATGGCTCCATTGAATGAGAAATGTCAATGCCCTTAATAGTTGCGAGTAACGACTAAATAAGTTTCTATCGATCAACTTGCAACTGTCGAAGAGATCAAAGATTTCGTAAGTAGAAACAAACTTACCAACCTTAGAACGCAGGAAATATCCGTGGAGTGACCAGAGCCTAACTTTCTCAGATCAAACCGACACTGCTTCCAATAATCACACACCTTAAGGGAATGTGGTTACACTGAACCTAAATCAATTTATATATTTCTTTTGAAAGACGAAGAAAAGGAATGCCAGAATGAATTCTTTTTTGTGGTTTTCAGAGAATACGGAGTCCAATACGGTTGCATTGGACTATTGGCTGTATTAATATTCATCAACCTGTAAGGCGATGGTCTGGAAACGGCCATTCCAGGCCATTCCAGAGTCGAATTTCAAGTGCAATGAAATGATTTGGCCCTTACTTTGTGAGAAAAATAAAAATGACTGAACCTTGGCTTTTTTCTTTCTTATTTTCCCTTAAAAGGGAAAATGATAGTTTTCCAGTATTTTGCGTAGTTTCAATCCGCCTGTTTCGCTGCCGAAATACAAACAAGCCGAACACGAGGCAATTTTTTTTGCCCCATCGTTGCGCGACCGTCGCTCCACATGAGATTGCCCCGTGTGCGGGGGTGCAGCGGTGCATCGGTGCATCGGTGCATCACGCGAGCATCGCCAGCATATTGCTCTCTGCTCAAATTTTCAGCGATAAATATTGCCGTCGCAATATTTATCAATAGTCATGGAGATTACATGTAAGGTCAATTAAGGCTCTCGTTCAGGGGGCAAACATACCAAATAGGCCTACTGAAAAGTCGATTATTTTGCCTTCTAAGATTGAGTAAATAATATATAGCAAACCACGATTCTTTTATTTTTTTGCAAGCAATGTAGGAGTCAAATCATTTCGTTATATCTTGTACAGTGCTTTTCACTTGAGTCGGACATTCTTTGATTTGACTCAGATCATGGCAAGTGCCCCCTGTTCCGGTGTCGGGAGTCAAATGTCGGGAAAATGTCGACTCGAGTGATAAAACGTTGAAGTTTCGCTCGCACGAGTCCGTTCACAATGAGTTATCTTGAGGTTTTCGCATCGATATAACAGGAAACATTATTCATTTGATTGCCCAGTGTGTTCATAGTGCCATCGTGCATTCATCCTGCACGCAACACGGGAGGCTACTGCGTAGAATTCTTGGGAGCGCTACTCTAGGAGAGGAGAATGAATCACCCGTAAAGTTCTGCAAGCATTTTCCTTCTCGACCAAAAAAATATTACCTTTTCGCACTTCTGCTTGTTTGATCAATCTAAAGCAGGACTGCACAAAAAAAGGCATAGGAATCGATGTACGTCTTTTGGCTCTCTTCGTGACTTTTATGTCGTCTTCCTTGTCCCGGACAGGAGAGTCCGGGTTCCTTCTCTCGTCAGTCGATGCGAATGAAAGAACCTGAATCGGCAAAAACATTCTTACAGCAAAGAGGATGGTTGTCTGATACTTTTCCATTGCCACTCCATCTATCACTCCTGAAGTCTTTGCTGTCACATGACAAGGATTCAGGCAAAGTTTCCATTAAGATTTACATTAGTCATTATGATATCTGTTCCAATACTTCGCAAAACTTTTATCTGATTGCTTCGGCACGACGTGTTTCGCGGAAAGTGATAGCGCGGATGCGGTCAATAAATCCTGCACACTCAGAGTCATGCTTCGCCGTTGGAGTCTGAAGTAGATGAGAACGAGATGAAATTAAAAGAAAAAACTTTTGAATGGTATAGGCAACGGCGAAGCGTCGAAAAAAAGGAAAAGGCCAATGAAGTGCATAAGTGTCGTGTTTCTGTGTCCCTCGCTCATGCGCTAAAATAGCCGGAAAAAAAAGAACAAGAAGTTTAGGACGCTTAAAGGATACGTAGATGTCATTGCAAAAAAAAAATGTTGACATGCTATTTGCTATCTCATGAACCCCAAGGAGTTTTAAAGAGCGGCGAGTTTTTTTTTTTTTTGCCTCACCCGATATTTCGAGTTACCCTATACATTTGTCATGTGCCAAATATTTCTGACTGCTCACGTGACATTTAGCCCGCCCCGATTTAGCGAGTTATATCTGGAGGAAAAGAGAATAATGTTGCATGTCCTCCAGTACATGCCAGCCAGGAGCTAAGTGAAACACCCAAGGCAAAGTAGAATGGCATTCCGTTTTGCCTCACAATTAACATTTTTCATTAAAAAAATGAAAAATCTTGAAAAATCAGAATTTTCCCGATGTCTATTCAGATTTCGCGAAAGCTTTCGATAATGTTCCTCACAAGAGTTTGCGGGTTAAACTGGAGGCCCACGGGATCCAGGGTAAGAAGAGCGAGTGGATCAGTAGCTGGTTGACGGGAAGAGAGCAACGAGGTGATGATAAATGGGGAAGCGTCGAAGGAGGTCGGAGTCACAAGCGGTGTCCCTCAAGGCTCGGTCCTTGGACCGCTTCTGTGTTCGGTCTACGTAAACAGTTTGGATCTCGGCGTAGAGGGTAAGCTAAGTAAATTTTCCGACGACACCAAGATAGGTTTTGCCGTAAGGGGGGAGGCGGATAGGGCTAGAGTCGAGCGAGATTTAAGTCTTTTGGACGAGTGGAGCCAGAAATGGCTC